TTTTTTCGAAAGAATCGTTTTTCAAGACACCCAGGGCTGAAATTCGAGGCTCCAGTTAAAGAGTCGGGTGACAACAACTTCTTCTGAGCGAAGCAGAAGACGGTCGAAAAGAAGAGACGGAGTGGCTCGACGGGTATTCTTACAGAGTTGAGAGAGGAACCGGCGAGAAATTAGCGTCTTATTTAGGGTGAGCACGGGTGAAATCGAGTGGAAAGGAGAACGAGACCGTGACTCGTCAGACATACAAGGTCAGAGAACGTGAGAGATGGGCAGAAATGTAATTCGACGAAGAGTTGAAGTCGCGAGAGATGATCTCGAGGGATGAATAGAAACGATCCTGTTTACTCTTTCTCAACCCTCCAGGCAAGATACGTAGATTTTTACAAGAAAAAGAAGAAGAAGAAGAAGTTTTATCCACTATTGGTCTTCTTCTCTCTTTCTCTCTTCCACCGAATCATTCGGATTTACGTACACTCGTTTTCTTTTCTTTGAACAACACGAAAGAAAGAAATCCACTTTTTTCTTCTTCTTCTTCTTCTTCTTTTTGTTTCCTCGCTCGAGAGGAGTTTCTGAAGAAATCCACGCTCATCCCGACAATGGAGATACCTATCCAGGTTTCGGAGGAAAGGGGGGAAGAAATCGATATCATTCCACCAAGGAGTTTTCCAAATGGAGGAACTTTTCAGACGCGATACGATCGCGTAAAGTAGAGATTAATTAATCCTCGGATTATTCGATATTGCTCTGATCTCTCCCCAAAGTTTTCAGAATCGGGGATCCTTTCTCGGATTTCAAAGAATTCCTTCTCTTAATTTTTAATAAAATTTATCTGATCTCTCCTTTAAATTCATCACCTTTTCTTTTTTGTACAAAAATTTTCTACAACAATATTTTTAACGCGCCTTTTGTTATTCGAATTGAAATTTTCGCGAAAAGAATTATTATCATTAATCGTACTTACGTATGTGTATGTATTAATGATAATTATTGTGCGATGTTGGAATTTCTAAATTTCTAAATTTTTAAATTTCTCGATGCATCTTTGCGTTATAATCATTATAAAATATTGGAAATAATTTTTTTTTTCCTATAAATTGTATAATTTAACGTTCCAATGATTATAATAATAATAATTTTTACGCGAAAATTTCAATTCGAATTAAAGGATTACTGATAGCAAAAGGCGCGTATCCACGTTAAAAATACTGTTGAAGGAACGGTGACCACTTTTTTTCCCCTCTCCCCCCATAAAAATCCGACGACTTTCTCGTCGCGACCTCGAGTGTTGCACGAGTTCCAGGGACTATCGCGAGTATTCACGCGAAAATTACCCGTTTGATCTCGATCTTTCCTTCGTTCCCACCACCACCTCCACCACCATCACTAGGGGTTTTTTCCCCCGTGGAAGCACGGAACGATAATTGTTATCAAGAGGCCGGGAGAAGAAGAAGTCGTCAACCGCCCTTCTCCCCGTCATTCCCCGCGATATATTCCCTCCTCATTTGTTTCTGCTTCTTTGTTAAAACGCTAAATCCCTCCTCATTTGAAAGTCTAACCGCACCACCACCACCACCACTCGTGTTCCAAGCTTTCCAAGCCGCGTTTCTCGCGAAACGATCCATCTCACTTTCCGTCCGCATTCTCTCTTTAATCTTTTCTTTTCTCCCTCTCTCTCTCTCTCTTCCATCCTCGTCTAAATTATGATTTTTCGTTCCCCACCACCCCTTTATCCACCATTTTATTTTCTCCCCCGGTGATTCTTTTAACGTCAGATTTATTTAACGAGAAGTTAAATAGAAAAGTGGTGGCAGGTTTTTCGATAAAAATCATTTACGTGTTGCAGCAATGTAATAAAGTTTAGATAGATATATATTATTTATATTCAATTTTCAATTGTTGAATTATGGATTTTTGTTGAGCGGATTCGCGTTTACAATCGAAAAGTATTTGTTATAATTGTTTGATGGAGTGGCAACGTTCGAGAAAGACAATAAAGATTAATGATTAATTTAAATTCAATACAAGATACATTTCTTTTTTTAAAAAAAAAAAAAATATCGTTAAATGATAATCATTGAAAAATCAAAAACAGAGAATCAAAGAGTTTTAGAAATATTTTACGATACTTTTTTATTTAAATACTGTTGCGAACCGCGGCAAATTTTTGATTCGATATCAAACGCGGTAAAAAATTATTTTTTTAGAGCGGTTTGATATTTATTTATAACAATGTTAACAACAACAATAATATTTGTACATATGTAACAAAGATTAATAATTAATTTTGCAATTTAAAATTTATTTGATTAAATTTTAAAATTTAAAATGTAAATCCGATACAAGATACATTAAAAAAAAAAAAAATTATCAATAAATAATTATCCGACAACGAATCAGAGAATTTTACAAATATTCTATAATAATTCTAATATATAAATATCGTTGTACGGCCGTGTGTACGACCGCGGCACGGGAAACGACACAATCGCTCGTTTGTTGACATTCGAAATATCGATTTAAACGGAGTCGGTTTCCGGACACCGAGCGGTACGGTCGTGTTTCTCCTCTCCTCGTCGAACGAATATTACGTTATATCGCTCGGTGAGTAATTAATTTAAATAATTATAAATAAATTAAACGATCATTGTTTAAAAAAAGGAACAATTAGTGCAGTGTGCGATATCGATAACGATATTAATAACGAAATCGAATTTTTTCTCGTTCGCTGCGTCATTAAACGATTTTTACGATTATTTCATCGTCTTAGCTCGAATAATTCGATTGATACGAATTAAAGAAAAGAGAAAGAACATCGAAATGTTCTCCTGAAATTCTTCTTCCTCTGATTCGCGTGAGAACAGAAGCGAGTAACGCCTCTGATCTCTTCCTCCTCCTCCTCCTCTTTCCTTCCTCTCCTCTATTCCCTTCCCTTCCTCTTCCGGTTGCGTTTTTGTTGCATCGATCGAATCGCGCTTTTCGAACGAGATTGCGATAGGAAAAAATCGCGAAAAAGAAAGAGAGAGAGAGAGACGATGGAGGAAAAATTTCGCGAATTAATACTGCGTTTAATATTTTACTTTCGATTCAATGCGTTTGATCGATTTAAACCGATCTTATTAGCCCTCGGTCAACTTTTTTGCCTGTCATTTTTTAATTAATATATTGTTTTTACCTCGAGTTGAAGGAATTCGATTTTTTTCGCTCTGGATTTCGTTCGTGTAAGAAAAATTTGAATTTTTTCGACGGAATATTTGATGTTTGATATCGCGCTATTTTACTTTCGATTCACGCGAACGATTCAATGATCGATTTAAACCGATCTTATTATTATGCCTGTCATTTTTTAGTTAATATAGTGTTTTTATCTCGAGTTAAAGAAATTCAATTTTTTTCGCTCTGGGTTTCATACGTGTAAGAAAAATTTGAATTTTTTCGACGGAATATTTGATGTTTGATATCGCGCTATTTTACTTTCGATTCACGCGAACGATTCAATGATCGATTTAAACCGATCTTATTATTATGCCTGTCATTTTTTAGTTAATATAGTGTTTTTATCTCGAGTTAAAGAAATTCAATTTTTTTCGCTCTGGATTTCATACGTGTAAGAAAAATTTGAATTTTTTCGATGGAATATTTGATGTTTGATATCGCGCTATTTTACTTTCGATTCACGCGAACGATTCAATGATCGATTTAAATCGATCTTATTAATTCTCGGTCAACTTTTTTGTCTATCATTTTTTAAGTAATATAGTATTTTTACCTCGAGTTGAAGGAATTCGATTTTTTTCGTTTTGAATTTCGTTCGTATAAGAAATATTTGAATTTTTTCGACGGAATATTTGATGTTTGATATCGCGCTATTTTATTTTCGATTCACGCGAACGATTCAATGATCGATTTAAATCGATCTTATTAATTCTCGGTCAACTTTTTTGTCTATCATTTTTTAAGTAATATAGTATTTTTACCTCGAGTTGAAGGAATTCGATTTTTTTCGTTTTGGATTTCGTTCGTATAAGAAAAATTTGAATTTTTTCGACGGAATATTTGATGTTTGATATCGCGCTATTTCACTTTCGATTCACGCAAACGATTCAATGATCGATTTAAACCGATCTTATTAGCCCTCGGTCAACTTTTTTGCTTGTCATTTTTTAATTAATATAGTGTTTTTATCTCGAGTTGAAGGAATTCGATTTTTTTCGCTCTGGATTTCGTTCGTGTAAGAAAAATTTCAACTTTTTCGACGGAATATTTGATATTTCGTTCATCGCTTCCTTTTATTTAAAGGAAATATAGAATCATGATGCAAAAATTTTCGAAAAGAATTCATTAATTCGAAATCGGATGTTTTTATTTCTCTCTCTCTCTCCCTTTTTTTTTCAATTCACGTATATTTTCGCAAAGAAACGCGATTTCCGTGATATAAATAGGAAAGCATGCAAATCATTGAGTTTCGGAGACTTGCAGGAAATTGACTCGTGGTTAACGAACCGAGAAGGCTCGCTCCGACAAAATGGCCTCCGAATACTCTCCTCTCTCTCTTTCTCTTTCTCTTTCTTTATATACGTTTGCTTCTTCGGAGTTAGAACCTTCGAGGACGCTCGTGAAAAACGGCGAAACGAAACGTAAATATTTTGTTGATAATTGGGTTTTCGAATTAATAGAGAGAGGCGATGATTCACGAGTAAACAAGGTTTGAGTCATACGTGTTGTATCCAGAATTGCGTCTCTGAAAATAGTCGTGGTAAAATTTCGCATTCGTGCGCGTTTGTCGAATTATTCGTTTTTTTAGATTATCGATTCGAAATCTGAATTAATTTCTAATTAATTCGAGGCCAAAAATTATGGCATACGGATAAAATTTTGTAGTGTATACCACCAATCATGAATACAGTAATACATTATTTAATTTATTTAATTTCCACGAAAAAGAAAAAAATTATTTAAACGTGATACGCATGCAACAAAGATAAAGAAACGTTTTCACTCACCTCTGAGGATCTGATACAGGAAGACCTTAATGTGGTCTGGACTTAGATGCTGAGGGCTGACGATAATCTTGTGCAAATCGCTCTGAAGCAGCTCCGTGATCACGTATCTGTTTTCGTTGTTTTCGTTAAGGAATTCACCAATAATCTCAAAATTAACCGAAATCAATCGAACGATTCCTCGATTATATTCAACAGTATCGGCAAATTTGAATTAATCTCCAGCTAGAATTAATTTTATTTGTTCGAAAACGCTGATTCCTTTCTTTCTCGATCTTCCTTCTCGTTTTTCCTGCTTCTTCTTTGGAAAAAAATTTTCGTTGCACTTATATATATATATATACAAATTGATAATAACGCGAGCATGTTAGGAAATCGAAGTTAAAAAACTGGATTGGTAGTTTATATTAGAAAATGAAATTGTTGTAGGATCGATTACTTAGAAAATTATTAATCGATAAATAGAGGATAATAATGAGAATGGAGGATCGAGATTGGAATTATTGTAAAAGTTAAATAATTTTATAAAAAAATTTTATAAAAAAATTATTCATCAAACTTCGCGATCTCAAATCAAAAATTTATATTCAATATAGAAAAAAAAGAAAAATTAGACCATTCGATCCATCGTTTCAAATATAATCAAAATGTGAAAACACTTTAAAAATAAAAAAAATCGTCGATATTTATAAAATCGATCGAAATCAATTTGGCAAGCAAGAAGGAAAACAGGCGAATCGTCGGCTTAATGGATTCCCTCGTCGGCCTCGAACGAGTTAATCCGTCGAAATGAAGGGAGGAGGAGGAGGAGGAGGAGGGCGTGGAAAGGAGGAAGAGAGAAGAATCGAGCCCGATGACGTGAAGCCGTGACGAAAGTAGCTGGCCTTAATAAACCCGGCGGGGTAATTTACGGAGCACGGGGTGAAAAGTTGTTCAGAAAGTTAAGCCGCCACCGAACAATGGTGCAAGGAGCATCCACTTTTGTCAACTGATAAAAGTGTTTCTTGCTCCTTTCGAACGTTTCGCTTCGATTAATCGTTCTTCTAATCGTTTTGGATTATCAATAGATGTTTCAAAAATAGGGGATGGAAGGAAAGTAGATTTAATCGATTTAACTTCGCTCGATTTTACTTTGCAAATTTTCCGTGTAACAAAGTCGAAATTAATTAAAAACTCGATCTAAAAATTATTATCCTTCTTTTCGTATTTTTGTCAAATCGTTGTAACAATGGAACGACACGTTATTTTTTTATAAAAAAATAAAATCATACTCCTATTATTATCCCCTGAATGAACAATCAGCAAAATCGAAGAGGCTATCCACTGCCTCTACACCGATAATAAACCGCGAATAAACAAAATCCAGAAGAAAGTTCCAATATCCGTTATAGAAGGGTTGTTGCATTAAAACACGCGGAAAGAAAACAGAATTCTATTTACTCGACGAGCCTCGATGGGCCGATTAATCCACGGAGTCACGAAAGAAAGAGAGAGAGAGAGAGAGAGAGAGAAAGAGAAAAAAATCACGATCCTCAAACATGTACACGGAAAAACAGTAGCCGTGAAGTTGGGCAATTACCGGAGTCACGGTAATCACAAGCGCTCCTTGTTCGCAAGAAACTTATCCAATCCCTTCCCACCAACTTCTCTCCTCCACGGTAATCTCGCGCGAGAGGGGGAGGGAGGGAGAAAGGGAATCTCGATCGACGAGCCACGCCACAAAGAAAGGGTGGAAGGAAGGCAAAGGGGCAAGTTTCGAGATAAAAAACAACTCGAGAAGTTTTTGCGCGACCACGAAGGCCGGAAGTGAACGAGGGGGTGGTGGCTGTGCCATCTGAGCTATTGGGTCGAAAATGGGAGGATGCTCGATCCTTTCTCCTTTTTTTCGATTATTGGTCCGCGCGAATCTTTTCTGGATTTTTTTCGTTCGAGCTTGAATTCGAAATATCCCTAAAAATCGGTAGAAATATTTCTAAAAATCAGGAGAAATATCCCTAAAAAGTTGAGATTTAATTAAGGCGATTTGCCAGGAATTTTCGTTCGTGTATCATGAAAATTTAGATATATTTTCCTTTTCTTTTTTTTTTTTTTTTTTGAGTTTGTGGAACAAAATTTCAAACAGGGAGAGTGGAAATGTAATTGTAGAAATGTGTGTCATAGATCGATATTTAAAGAAGAGAGGAGTTTTTTATCTTTTTTTTTTTTATTTGCTCTAAAAATTGAATTTAATACGAACTTCTTGTTTGTGTATATTGTTCTTATATGGAAAATATCGGGGATTATATTTCTCAAATACAAAGAATGGAACGTAATTGTAGAACGATGTATTACAGGCCAATATTTGAAGAGGACCGATGTTTGACCAAGATCTCGTTAATTTTGATGAATTTGTATGCGGAAGAGCTTTCTCTTTTCGAGAATTAGAAATACACTACTTGAGCGTCTACGTTTCTACGTTATTTCACTCCTTTTTTTAAAATTACAACACAATGATTGTTTCGCGATCATTTGTAAAATTGTTGCACAGATCTCCCGTGAAAAACTTCTTTTTAACGCTCGTTTACAAAGAGTTTCATCGAATATGATATTCACGTTCTTCAAAGGTATGCTTGAGAAAAAAAAAAAAAAAAAAACGAAGGAAGGAATTAAATTAACTCGATAGAGGGGCAATAGGAAATAAGATACGAGTAAAATGCAGGCGCGTGAATACCAGAAAGAAAACCAGATACCAGTTGGAGGATTTAAACCGGGCATAAAACTTTCGAGTTATAATATTCCATAGATTATTTACCTCTATCGTCTCTACGATATTTCATATTTTCTTTTTTTCCTTCTTTCGTATATAATTGCTCGCGATATTTATTCTATCGTTAACGAAATTCCATCTCCCCTCGATCTCCTCCCTTTCCCTCCCCCCCTCATTAAAACATTAAAATTCCTTCCACGATTCGATCACTCACTTCGAATTATCCCAATAGAAAAACACAAACAGCCTCTCGTTTCTCCCTCTTACGTACCATTCCATCCATATTTCCTTCGTTTAATCCTTTTTAATCCTTGTGCTCTATCAACAATCCGAAACGAGAAGTATAAACTACAATTTTCAATAAGACTTCGACTTTGCCCAATTCCTCCACCCGTTAAAGAACAATCATTAATCACCCACGATTAAAATCTTCCCCCTAACGTGATTCACCATTGTGATCATCATCATCATGATCATCAACTCCTTCGGCGTCCTTCGAAATCTCCTTTCTTTCCTCTCCTTCTCTTCTCTTCTCTCCTCTCCCTCTCTCTCTCTCGCCGCGAACATTAAACACACACACGGACGGGCGGAAAGACGGGGCGTGGGGCGCGGGGGCAAAGGGACGAGGATAGAGCTAGAGGAGGAGGGGGAGGGGAGAGGAAGCAGAGAGGAGAATGAAATAGTATAATGGCGGAATGAGGTCGACTGGTAGGTTGGAATGCNGAGGCTGGCTGGCGAAGCTGGCCTGGTGGTATGCAAGTCGACTGGTCCGGCTGGCTTCGAACACCTAGGCGCGCGCAAGCCCCTTTTGCCGGCGTTCCACGCTGTCTCCTGCCGCCTTTTGATATACGATCGATGGCCCTCTTCAACCGCGATATTTCCAAG